GTGGTGGCGCACGCCTTTAATCCTAGCACTTGGGAGGCAGAGCCAGGTGGATCTCTGTGAGTTTGAGGCCAGTCTGGGCTACCAAGTTAGCTCCAGGAAAGGCACAAAGCTACGCAGAGAAACCCTGTCTCGAAAAACCAAAAAAAAAAATAAAAAAATAAATAAAAAAAAAAAAAAACAGAGGCCAACAGCTCTGGTTAATTTTTGTTTGTTTTTGGTTTTTGGTTTTTCAGTTAGTTCTTATCAACAACTTGGAGGTGACATGAACATTTTAGAGTGTATTTTAGGGCTGCAGACCTAGACCTGTGGGGATACAAAGCTGGAGGCAGATAAAGTAATGGAAAACATCCCCTAAGCCATACTTTCTTCCTCTTGCTGTCTGTTGCTTCCTGCCTCCCCTGCACAGCACAGTGTGAGCCTAAACTCTCCAATCACCAGCACAGAGAAAGCTAGCACCCTGGGAGCTGTTCATGTGTACGCTGGGATGGAAAAATTCCATGTTGCAATGATACAGATGACAGGAACTAGCACCATGAATGTGGTACACATACATGCAAGCAAAGCTCCCATAAAAACATCAGAAATAATTGTATTTAAATTTAAAACAGTGACAATGAAAACAATGATCTAACGGTCTTAGCTGGGAATGTGCCTCAGTTGGCAGAATGCTTGACCAGCACTTATCAAGCCCTGAGCTCTGATCCAAAAAAAAAAAAAAAAAAAAAAAAAAAAAAAAAAAAAAAAAAAAAAAATGGGGCATGGCAGTACACACCTGTAACCCCAGGGCTCAGGCAGGTTCTTGGGAGCTTGGGGACCAACTTTTCTACCCAAATCAGCTCTAGGTTCAATGAGAGACCCTGCCTCAAAAAATAAGATGGAGATCCACATATGTTCTACCACTGAGCTGTCCCCCCACCCTTCGCTGGGGAATTCTGGGCAAGCGCTTACCACTGAGCCACCCCACCCTCCGACAATTGTATGCAAGCACCACAAAGCTACCTCCATCCCTCCCTTTAGTTCTTATTTTGAGACAGGGTCTCACTAAGTTGTTCAAGCTGGCCTTGCCCTCCCTATGTAGCCTAGCCTGGCTTTGAACTCGTGAATCTTCCTGTCTTACCAGCCCAAGTAGTTGGGATAATAGACTTGTACCACCAGATGCCAGCAACAGTTTTGTTGGCTTTTTGGGGTGCTGAGTGAGGCTTGAACATACAGGGGCTTTGCACATACAAGGCAAACAGTCCACCACTAAACTGCAACCCCGCCCCCCCCCACTTCTCTGAAAGAGTGAAGATTTGGTCACTGTTTTCCCCAGCCCTTCCCGCGGCCGCGGGGGCACACAGAGTTCTGCCCTCTGTGACCCCACCTGACCTTTAGGGGAACCAAAGCCACCCTCGGCTGGAAAAGAGCAGGCGGCTTTCACTTCAGCACAAGTGACGGTTTGCCCACTTGGCTTCCTGTGAGGTTTGTGTCTCCCTTCCCTTGGTGAAGACGTCTCTTATCTTCGGGTTCTCGGGGGCTCGGTGACAGTTGGTGCCAACACGCGGCCTTTGGGGAAAACAGAAAATACAAGGCAAACCAGAGAGGGGGGCAGCACGGAGCCTGTGTGGCCCCAGGGTCTCTGCCCCCCCCCACGCCACCCCCCATGGAGTCCTTAAGTTGGCCACACGCAGAGTGGCCCCCTGTTACCTCCTCAGACTGGACAGTGAGTGGCCAAAGTCACATACACCTGTCCAGCCGATGTCAGCCTTGATGTTCCGAACCAGGACCATTCCGGCCGCCGGAAGTTCACTGGCTCTGCTAGGCGCCTCTCCCACCATGGGAACGGGCAGTGAGTGAGGTGCCAGGAGGCTCCATGTGGGTCACTGGCTACTTTTCCTAGAGGACCCGGGTTCAATTCCCCTGCACCCACGTACAGACATATATGCAAGCAAAACACAGATGTAGATGAAATAAAAATAAAAAAGTTACACTTAAAAAAGAAAAAGAAAAATATGGATTCTTAAAAAAAAGGGGGTGGTTGTGGGGGTGGGGTGTCTTATGTAGCCTAAGCTGGCTTCCAACTTTCTCTGAGAATGGCCTTGAACCACCATGTCTGGTTTATACAGATCTGGAATCGAACCCAGGGCTTCCTGAACTCTTCCAACCGAGCTTGACCCCTAGCCTAGGAACTCTTGGCTGTTCACCAAAACTGAAAGTGAGGGTGCACACCTATAGTCCCAGCACTC